ACAGTATAACTTCTGGCTGGATATACCACTTGGCCTGAGTGTGGCCTTTTAATTCCCACTTACTGTCTGCTGAACAACGTATTGATACATGTATCATAAGGAGGTGTTACCTGGGGATCAGCCATGAATGACACTGTGAAGTAAGGTTACTTCCCACCTTCGTGGGTGTCTTTCGGGAAAAGATTTGTATGTGCACTAGTTTCACTAAAATTCTAGCAAAGTGTACATCACAAGAAAGCTTAATAAATACAGGTTACAATAAAAATATAATTTAAGAAAGCTTTCTAAATAACTCAGGTGCTTTTGGAGATTTCAATTTTTTTTGGAAATGTTAGGTAAAATGTTTGAATTCAGTTCCGTCAAATAAAAGAAAAAACGTTTTTTCGGCCTATGAAGGTGGGAAGAAACCCTAATTTAATAGGTGGGTTTCCCTTTTTTTTTTTTTGCTTGTTGTTTAGTTTGGCTCTTTGCTGGGTGTAAACGATATGAATGCAGATCAAATGACCAAGAAGTTAGAAGACACTCTGCCCGTGATACAGCAAGTCAGTCAACAGTTTAAAAATCCGGTATGAGAGAAACTTTTCTATTATTATCAGTGTAAAGAGTTTTTCGAGGGTGTCGTTAAAGCATAACTAGAGGTATCACCTCGACCATTCAGAAAAAAGGGAAGAATCATCAGAAGCCAATGAGAACCTTTGAGTAAGAACAAGCAAACTGCGTAAAGCGCGGGAAAACGCGGGTGATCAAGTCGCGATTGGCTTTAGTTTTGCATCCGATTGGCTGAGAAAAGGGCGCGAGTTTTCTGGACCAATCACGGAGGACGCAAGTAAACCGCGTTACTTTTGACAGTCAATGTACCAGTAGGGTAATTTAGTTTTATCAACTGAGTTGATTAGGTAAATTGGCCACCGTATTGTTTCAAGGCTGACGTTTCGAGAGTTGGCCCTTCATCAGAGCGAATGGCGAGGGGCTATTGCTCTAAACGTCAGCTTTGAAACCTTTACGGTGGCCAATTTACGTTCTAAATCAACTGATAATACTGAATTACCCTGTTGTACCCTCCCTCCGAAGTAGTACTACAGTTTCTGTAGAAACTTACCCCCTTTATTCAATGTACCAATAATCGATTTTAAATTTAACAACTTTCTTTCAGGATCACACAACATTTGTATGCGTTTGTATAGCAGAGTTTCTGTCCCTCTACGAAACAGAGAGATTAGTTCAAGAGCTCAGCAAGTCAGACATTGACACACACAACATCATTGTTAACCAACTGATTTTCCCCGACAAAGAGAAAGGTGATGTTGTTTTTGAATCATTCGCGATGATGAAAACGTACCACTAGTAATTACTTTCCATGTCCCCTCTTTAGCCAAACTGACTAAGAACATTTCTTCTTCGCCTAAGCGAAGTGCGTCCTGTAATTGGCGAAAAGAAACTTTCGAAACGTCAGCTTTAAACTCTTTACGTTTGCCAATTTACCCTGTTCTTCTCTCCCACCGACGCAGCACCACAGTTTCTTTAGAAATTTACCCCCTTTATCCGATGGACAAGTTTCGCGCATCTTGAATGAATCCAACTGAGAATATTTTTTTCTCTTTTCACAGCATGTGCGTTATGCCAAGCCAGATACAAAGTACAGAATAAATACCTCGAGCAGGTAAAAACTCGCACTTCTGAAGTTAGATTACCTCAAATCTCACGAACCAGTCACTGAAGAGAACGAGCAACCGATTAGGGTAACGACAGGGGACGATAGGTAACGAAGGGTAACGACAGGGGACGATGGGAAACGAAGGTTAACAACAGGAAACGAAGAGATAAACGAAATAGAATTAAGGATCGATTCTGTCAGCGAGAGTTGACGATTTAAAGCACGATCTAACGAACGCGAGAGATCAAATGAAAGAGCGAGAAGGAATGAAGAAAGAACGAGTGAACATACGAGGAGGAACACGTTCAAATGCACGAACGAACAAGCGACTAATGGCCGATGGACGGCCGAACAGACGAACGAGCGAACGATTGATCTAGCTAAAAATGGCCGGTGGACGGCCGAAAAAAACAAACAAACGAACAAACGATCGACCAGAAGAGTTGTAGCCGATGGACGGCCGATAGACGGCCGGGCAGACGAAGTAACAAACGATCGGACAGGCGAATAATGGCAAATGGACGGTCGAACATACGAACGAACAAACGATTGACCGAGCAAATTATGGCTGATCGACGACCGAACGAACAAACGAACGAAAAGCAAGATGACTAATATAATGGTAAAGTTAAGCTCCTCTCTCTCCTTTCCTTTTTTGTAGATTCAAGACTTGTATGAAGACTTTCATGTTGTAACTCTGCCACTCTTGGCTCACGAAGTACGAGGTCGAGAAAAACTTGAACAATTTTCTAGAAATCTGTTAACTCCATACTCCAACTAGAACGTGAAAAGTTGAAATAAGAAGGAACAAAAACATAAACAAAAACAAAACAAAAGTAAAACAAGCAAACAAAACAAAACACATGAAATAAATTTTAACAAGTTTGGATGAAGCAGTTGTTATCACAACAGTTGAACTGAGATGATTTTCTGTCACTCTATGAAGTCGCACACGAGGCGCAACTGAGTGTGTCACTGATGATCTTCCCGCGCTTTGTTGTGTTCTGTGAGGTACTACTGGACAGACCTACAGTAGCATGGAATCTGGTTTTTTTATAAGACAAAGAAGGAAAATGTTGTTAGTGATGACGTCATGTATGCGTCTGTGTTAACCCTTTACACCCTAACATCAGTATGCATATTCTCCATACTGTTCTCTATACATTTCCTAAGGGGCTGACAAGGAGAATTTGTTTATCAATCAAGAGAATATTTAGTTCGTGATCATTTGCTTTATTCTCATGACCTTACTGTGTGATGCAGGGGTTATACTGTTGGGAGAAATTATACGAGTCACTCTCAGGGGTTAGAGGGTCAAGATTCAAGCTTATCTCATAATGAACAAAAAGGCTTCATGTTGTTTTGCGTCTGTCCGATAGTAAATCAAAAAAGATGTCAAAATATGGTAGGAACAACAGAGTGGCATATGAAGTTCAGCCACGCGTATCAATGATTTTTTTAGGTGTTATATTTATAATATAAACATTATTAACGCAAGATGCGCTTAAATTTTCTTTTTATTACGAACTTGGCACTTGCATTTTAGGATCCTATTTAATTTCTCCGATAACTTTCCACCATTGTTGATGCAGTCGAAGTCCGCAACTCATCGTAATTTTAACCCTTTCACTACCACAAATGATCACAAAGAAAATCTTATTGCAATTATCATACATTATCAAGCAGAGGGGTAATGGAAATTAACAAAATTATCAACTGGACAAATACAGCCGCGATACCACACCAAATTCTCAGAAACGGTCGATGGAGAAATCTGTGGCCATCAGTTTAGAGAATTCGTCTATAGATCTTTGATCTTGGAAGTGAAAGGGTTAAAGACGTTTTTCACTAATTAATTAGCTATTTTGATCATTCGTTTTCCCTGCAGGTATAATCGGCGCGAAATAGCTATTTACAATTTTTACAGCACTATAATACAATTCACATCGGAATTCTTCCCGTTAAGATATTTCCGCCTCTTTGGATCTAATTACACTCCTCAGGTCCGTCCGCACAAGGGTTAAATACAAAGTCAATATTAACAATAATGTTCTCTTCCTATGTACAAATAAAATAAATACAATATATAAGTTAACATTTAAGCCGTGGGCTTTCAAGGCCTGCGCAACGAGCAAAACACAGGGGATTTATCAGTAAGCTTGTCAGCGTTTTCCTCCAAAACCTTTTCTTTTTAATTTTTTGCACGTACTCCTCGACCACATCTTTAAAATAGGCTTCTTCAACAAACTGGGGTAGATTGGAGACTGCCGTATCACTGAGACAAACTTCTCGTCGATCTCTGAAGTTGTCAATTCCTTTTTGAGAAATTATTTCTTAGATGAGCAGTGTAATATTATAACATAAGTACTTGAAAGTTCAAAAGAACAGAAGTATTTGGCAGTCAACCATAAACAGCGATCAAACCATTAGTCACGCTTATCAAAGCCTGTTACAAGCCCTCCTTCTGGATTGAGGTTTGACGCCCAAGAAAGTTGTAGTTTATGCTAAGTATTCCATGATTTGACAATCGAACTCTTGTCAATAGACTTAGTACTCTTGCAATTGTGTTTCAACAAAGTTGTACAAAAAGTACGATTCTTATGCTTCTTGGATCTGAAGTTCGATTCTGGCTTGGTACAGGTACTTTGGAAATATCGTCAACTTCACACTCTCCTATCGATTACACACCACACGAAGCAGTCCAAAACCGTCCACAGAGATAAATTTTCCTTCGATGATTGCAGTCTTGTATCGCAGTTCAGATTCATTACATTGCGTTGCCAAAGACACTGGATAAGGGTCAGAAAAATTCAAGTCGACGTGAAAATGAAATATTATTCAATTAGTGCTTGCAGGCGTACCACAGCGAGGATTCTACTTATCGGCCGCTATTCATGCGTTTACGTAAAAGTTTTACACGGCGGGTAAAACAGAACATTATCCAACCATTTCTCGGGACAAATAAAGGACACCTCTAAAAGTCTGGTGTGAGCACCTTGGAATCTCGCGACACAAAATCAATAAGTCTTCAATAACCCTTAGTTTACCGATTAATAGCTTTCTTCCTTCCAAACTTCCTGGGACAAAATCCACACCTCAAATTCGAAAGAAACCATCGTCCGCTTCTTCCAAATGGAAAATTTCCTTGTAATTCCTTTGCTCCTAGTTCTAATCTCCTTCTTTTTGGCTATCTTGTTTATCTTGTTCTTCGTGTTCTTCGTGTTCCTCGTCTTCGTCTTCTCTCTCTTCATCCACCTGGTCTGTATCTTTTCCTTCGCCTTTCTCTTCGTCATCGTCAAATTCATCATCCGCTTCACAACTACGGCTGCTACTCACATACTTAGTCAGGTCAGGAGTTTTTCCAGCTACCACTTCTCTTAGCCTCTGCAATCTTTTCTCGCAGTCATCATCTGTATCAATAAAAACAAACAATCAACGTTAGTCGAAACGTTATTTCACTCTCAAAGCACAAATCTTAAAGCTATTGACCTTGACTGCAAAGTGCCCCGCGCTATATGCTGGCAGCAGAATTTCCCGCGTTTGACAAGAATTTCTTGTTTTCCCGTGCAAGTCATCGACACAGTGCAGTCCCTCTCGCTGTTGACACTGGATACAAATTTTTCCGCGCTTAGGAATGACTGCCAAATTTCCTGTGTTTGACACAGGCTACCAATCTTTCCCGCGCTCGACACTGGTTGCCTCCTTTCGCACTTGTCACTGGCTCCATTCCCTATCGCACTCGGTACTGGTCGCATCATTTCCCGCGCTTGACACAAGCTACGTATTTTCCCGCGCTTGACATTAGTTGCCTACTTTCGCGCTTGTCACTGGCTCCATTTCCTATCGCGCTCGGTACTGTTCGCATCATTTTCCGCGCTTGACACAGCCTGCATATTTTCCCACGCTCGACAATGTTTGCCTACTTTGGCGCTTGTCACTAACTACATCTCTCATCGTGCTTCGCACTGATTGCATAATTTCCCGAGTTGGAAAGTCGTTGCATATATTCTCGGCTTGACAATTAAGGCGTATTCTCCCACGCTTGACATAGACCGCTAATTTTCTGACGATAAACACAAGTCAAGCCTTTTCTCCTGCGCTGCGTACTAATCATCGACTCACCGGACGTTTCAGGTTCTGATTGGTCAATAGCTTCTTTCCTTGTGCCCTGCCAACTGACTCGCTTCTCTCTACCAGATGAACTATGCTCTCCGGGCTTCCTCTCCTGTTCGTGCTTGGGGACCTGGGCGTTGTACCAGTATCTATTGTCCTCAATGCGCTCTAAGATCTCAATGGCGTCAGGATGTACCAAGTCGCCCCAGGTCTCCCATAGCGGTTGGATGACAAAGTCGATAAACACCACCTATTGCAAGAGGATATAAAACAAATACCTTTATCAAAGTAACGAATCGAAGTAGAGATCATGATTATTTGCCGTTCACAAACTTACTTAAGAAACAACGCCAAATTTCACCCAAGAGTTAATTGTACTAAAACTATTCCAGACCTGCGACTAGCATTAATCATTCAGTGCTGTTTGCTGCAGTGGTTTCCTTCTCGACTGTTCTTCGGTCATGTCACGCAAAGGTAAAAGAGTCAATTGCGTGACAAGAAATAACTACAGCTGAGGAGGTGATATAGTATTATCAGCTGAGTTGATAACGTAGACTGGCAGCCGGAGGGATGTATGACTTAGTTATTATCACTGTGTTGGGAATTGTGGCGCATTTTGCGGGCTAAAACGCAGATTTTGGTGGGATAAAATGTATTTTAGCCCGCTTGCACGCTCGCGTGATTTTTCAGACTGCTTTGTTGTTGTCATTTTCGACAGCTTTTACTTTCTCAATTCACTCCAAAGTAATAATAATTGTAATATAGTTTATATTCTTTGGCACAAATATGTTTGGGCCCTCTTTAAGGCTCATTTTAACCCTCGCCTGGCGGCTCGGGCTAAAACTACTATGTGTCGAACCCAAAACATTTTTACGCCCGCAAACGTAAACTCTATTGTTCTCGTTCATTATAATCCTACCTGCGATTTCTCTATAGAAGCATTATGTCTGTCCATCATTGGACTGATTTCCATTCCCTCGATGTCTCGCTCCCTGTCACCCTGAGAAAAATTAAGCAGCAGTTCGTGAGCTGAACTACAAAGTACAATCTAACAGGTGCACTACGTGAGCTAAATGTGACAGCTTCAGCTCTTATAATGAACTCAGAGGTAGAAGACGAAGAATAAAAGAGTGGATGGAAAGTTGGAAGAGTAGAAGATCAATAGGCAAGCATAAATGTAAACAATGAGAGAGAAAATAAACATGAACAGACGGAGTTAGGGCTGAAGAAGGACCGAATGAATAAACAAGTCGACGATTAAAATGCTTTCAACAGATGGTTTCCTGTTGATTAGCGAGAGTGAGCCATGTCAGCCGCCTCCTAGTGAAGGGAGGCACAACGCCCCCCGCCTCCTCCCCTGCCATCCCTAGCTTTACAGAGTAACCAGCACAAACCTGTCTGAAGAATTCTTCCATTACTCTGTCGACCCACTTTCTGTACATTGGAAGAGGCTTTGCGGGATTGCTAAGATCGGCACAATGCACCAAGCACTTGAGAACCTACATGAACAAATATCCACAAATAATAGTTGGCGTTCACTTCAGATGGGGAAAAAATCTTAAGTGTATTCTCCTACTTAGATCACATCTCAGGTGAGAAGCTGACTCACTATCACTGTTAATTTACCCCTGGGATATCTCCAAACCGCCGTCCCTAGTTTCCTAATGAGTCTTTTCTTCAGGATGTCACGCTAAGATGTTCCCCGTGAAATTTCAAGAGACCGGAGGCCTCAACCCAATAGGGTTAGCTATTTCAAGTTGTTTGTTACCTAAGAGTTCTTGCTACCGGGGGAAGTCACCACAAAAGAGGTTCCGTATCCCGAGGTCCTTATCTGTACATTAACCCTTTACACCCTAACATCAGTATGCATATTCTCAATACTGTTCTCTAAACATTCCCTCAGTTGCTGACAAGGAGAGTTT